GTCCGAGGCCTGGCCTCGGGCAGGCCTCGGGCCTCGGGCAGGCCTCGGTGAGCCTCGGAGCGCCTGCTTCATCATGGCCCCTAAAACAGGGCCGAAAAAAGTGTTCAAAACATGGCTGCGATAGAGGGACCTCGACAGTAGCAAGCGGCCTTGGGACGCACAAAGAGAAAAAGGTATGTGTTGACATTCATGTTCAGGCTGCTGGGTCGCAAATCTGCTTGCAAAACATTTGCGGGCAGCAACGAAATTCTCCGATGGCTGACCTCATTTTTGGGTCCAAATATTGACCCCAAAATGGGGTCCAGAATTGGATCACATTTTCATTCCTTCTTTTAGGTCTTTGCTTGGGCCCCGTTTTGGGGTCCAGATTTGGACCCAAAAGTGGGGCCAGCCATCGGAAAATTTTGCTGCTGCCCGCAGATGTTTTGCAAGCAGATTTGCGACGCACTAGCATGATCGTAAGCGTTACCGTTAACACATGCTTTTTCTCTCTGTGCGTCCCAATTTGTTTCTTGTACATAAGAAACTATACGGGTTCTGACCCTGGAAAAGTTACACCTTTGCACCCTTCCTGTGTGTAAAAGCTTCTGTGTGCAAAAGCTTGTGTTGAAGAAAGACACGTTCGATTGAAACTGCAGACTTTGCCTTTCCAGCAATGTTAACTACGTCTCAAGAAAAATTAGACACGCAAACACCGGCCTCCCCAGAACTGAAGAGTTGATTTTCGCATCACCTCAAGGTGGGAGCACTCAAGCCGATGGCTTCTGTCAATCCGAAGCCACCAAGCCTGCCGCATCCACCCAGCAGCCGCCACAGCCGTCGCATCCACACAGCAGATGTTTGTGGCCTGATTCCAACTGTACCACATTGTCATTATGGACAATGTTGCCACTGCATTAATTCGGTGAATTTGCACAATGCAATTGTCTTTCCGGTGATAAACGACCTGGCGAGAGCCATCTGGCGTTGGACGGAAAAAAAAGATTCCAAACAACGCAGCGCATCAAGAGAGATCTGAATGGGGCAGAGGAGGCCCGTACATGCGAAGCCTGATTTCAATTGACTTTCCGGCCCCCAGAAATGGAACCTGAAAGAGCACATGTGGTATCAGTATCAGCTATCTCCGTTCCCTAGCTCCAGTGCGGCGATTGAGGCTGCAAAAAGGCTGATGCGCCTTCTTTTAGCAGCAAACAATCAAGCCACCAGACGAAACGAAACAATAAAAAGCTACCTTCAGCTGGGTTCAAGCAGCAACCGATATGCACCCCGCTTGCCCCAACAAGAACAAAATCATCTACAAAACAGCTTCCTCCGACGGACCCAATTCTGGGTCTGGAAAACCTTCTTCAGAAAAGGGACCCAAAAGTGGACTCTCTTGGATCGAAAGTGGTGGGGTGCAGGGGAACCCCAAATTTTGAGAAATTGGTGGATAAGGTTCCAGTCTACCACTTCGGATGGAATAACAGCGCGGTCAATTTCTGTTATTTTGCGTTTAAAAAATAGATAGAGAAAAACCAGACTTCAAAGAAAATCGCAAATTTACCTGCCGTCTTGTTGGCACTGCCCCGTGTCTTAAGAGAGAAACAGGAAATAAGTAGAGAGCAAGAAGGCAAGAGAGCAAGAGGATAAGAAGATGTGAAGATGTGAGGATGCGAAGATGTCAGGATGTGAAGATGCGAGGATGGGAGGATGTGAAGATGCGAAGATGAGAAAATGTGGAGATGAGAAGATGTGAAGATGAGCAGATGTGAAGATGAGAAGATGTGAAGATGAGAAGATGTGAAGGTGAGCAGATGTGAAGATAAGAAGATGTGAAGATGAGAAGATGTGAAGATGTGAGGATGGGAGGATGTGACGATGCGAAGATAAGAAAATGTGAAGATGTGAAGATGAGCAGATGTGAAGATGAGAAGATGTGAAGATGAGAAGATGTGAAGGTGAGCAGATGTGAAGATAAGAAGATGTGAAGATGAGAAGATGTGAAGATGTGAGGATGGGAGGATGTGACGATGCGAAGATAAGAAAATGTGAAGATGTGAAGATGAGCAGATGTGAAGATGAGAAGATGTGAAGATGAGAAGATGTGAAGGTGAGCAGATGTGAAGATAAGAAGATGTGAAGATGAGAAGATGTGAAGATGCGAGGATGTGAGGATGAGAAGATGTGAGACTTGAAGATGTGACGTGAAGATGTGAAGATCCCACTACTAGAAGAACCCTTCGCTCAGACGCTCTCGGGGAAAAGAGCTTCGTTTCAGATCCATTCATTTTTCCGTGATTGCAGTTTTGAATTTTTGTCCATGTCAGTTTTACCATTGGCGAGTTTCAGATTTTTCGATGCGTGCGGCGATCGATCATTTCGAGCGTGCATGTTTTTGGAGGTCAATGTTTTCAATATCAACGCGGATGTTATATGTAGGGAAGCAACATAAGGAGGGAGATATGTGCAATGTGCGCATGGAGGAAAATAGGTATACAGACTTTAGTGCTTTAAAGGAGAAAATGTAGCTGCTAGCTGGATACCTTGAGCCTGATTGGATAGCTCTTGGTGATGGTGATGGAGATGACGATCAAATAGATGAAGGCCGACCCCCTGAAGTTGACTCTGATGAGCTGGCACAATTGGATCGGGCAGCTGGCTTTGAGGAGATCACGGGACTCTTAGAGATGAAGGTGATTGAGGAGCCCCAGCTGAAGACCTTGAACAAGGTGTGGTTCTCTCCACAAGGAGTGTCATGGATTGGCGCTTCAGAAATCAAAGGTGGCAGCGACGATGCAGGTATGTTGCCCGAGAATATTGAGCTGGAAACAAAGGATCAGCAGCAACCTTTGCACCCACTTCAGGTGCTGGTGCCCGGTTGGTCTTGGTGGCACACTGTTGTTTTCAATGGCTGCTCGCATTCCTGGACATCAAGGATGCATTCCTATTGGTTTCCCAGCGTGAGAAGATCTTGGTGGAGAAACCCTCTTGGTGGTCTGACAATTCAGGCACTAGCTAGATATTGGTCTCTCAGCAAATGCCTGCCTGGACAGAGAAATGCTGCGGACGTTTCTTTGACTTTCTCTGTGAACATCTACAAGCTCTTGGGATGGAAAACATACCACTGCTTCCAAGCTAAGCCTTTTCAGGCACAAGGAGAAAAAACTCATCCTGTGTTCTCACGTTGATGATTTGGTAGTTGGTGGAGAACGTGAAGCAGTACAATGGTTGGTATCAGCATTGAAGTCAAAGCTGACTCTCCAAGATGGTGATCTCATTCCTGCAGAAGATCAAGATGACCACGAGCCTGCGAGATTCCTCAAGAAGAGGCACTTCTTCACGCAGGCGGGGGTGATCATCAGCCCTCATGAGAAATATGCTGATGAGTTGGTGCGAGTCGATGCTTGCAGCACCGGAAACCCAAAACAACTCCCGATGTCAGTGGAGAGATCTTTGTGCCGGAGGAGTTGGATGAGAAAGGGACTTTCGCTCAGCTATGGGTACACTTTTGTACCTCAGCCAGGACAGAATTGACTTGCAACATTCTGTCAGGCACTTGAGTCAGTACATGTCTCGACCTACGGCAGCTGATGCGGCGGTAGGTTTTAATCACCAGATTCTGAAGGAATACCTCCAGACTCACCACCTGATGTCCATTTTTTCCTGGCCGGATCTGACATGGGACTACGGCGCATGGTGGACACAGCGTGAGCGTGGTAATTTCAATGATGTCTTCAATGACATCGTAATCTATGGGATGCATCAGTTGACTTGGGGCTCATTTGTTGAACAACAATGGTTCACCCAACAGGAATATGAAGATTGCCGTCCAAGTGACATCCCATGGGAATCAGATTAAGATGGCAAAGTTCGACCTCTGAACCCCGGCCAAACTTTGAGGCGGGGTGTTAAACGGGTTCAGCATGACACCGTGATGCATGGATGACACGCACAAACTGAGAAGTGACCATTGACAACATGTGTTTCATCTGCACAGTGGCTCGAATAACCTGTGACAAAAAGACTGGTCAACTGCCGTGCTCCGCAGCGTAGCATTTTCTGTACTTGTTTTAGAATTTCGACACTTCGGCCCTGGCACGGCCGGGCACGATCTTGCATAAACAAATTTCAGGGCCCGTTATTGCATTTTGTGGCAAATGACAAATGTGATTTGTGCTGATGCTGAGTTGTTGAGAACTGTTTGTCACTGCCCGAGTTTTTGCGAAGTGTTGCCTCTGTATCGCTGCTTGTGTGGGCAGCAGTTGTATATGCACTACCACATTGCTGCTAGTTTCTTGTTTGCCCGTACTGCGAAACTGCCATCCTGCAGTCACTGAACATGATTTTGTTGTTAAGATTTACCATTCAAAATCCACATGATCCGATGATTTTCATGGGATTTCCCATGTTTTTTGGCTGAAACCAAAGGGCAGTCGCGTGCGAATCGCAGGTTCCGCACGACAGAATCTGTCCATTTACAGGATGGAAAGCATTCGAAAACCATCCAAGTGATCTTCAAATTGATGGATATACTTAGCGCTACCTCATCTGGTTTTAAGAAAATCGGAACATGGGAGCATTGGCGAATGTTTTTCCAGAAAATGATGGTTTCCACAGTGCGTTGCCAAGACATCCTGAGTTCTCAACGTCCCAAGTAGTCCCAAATAATTGTGTTTTAAGGCTTGTTGCAAAAACCCCAACATGGTGAATGTATATGTATATTATACATATATGTTACTATGTTAGTTTCTTGGTGGGTTTACTTCAAAACATGATGTGGATATAGGTCATTATCATGGTTCACAACCCTAAAATATAGTATTAAGAATCCCAAATATCCCTGATATATTCGTATTATTGGATGTGATTCATCAATTCCCAATTTATAATCACTATTCATTAACAAAAAATCTTAGTGTTTTGAACCTTTTAGAACAACACTTTTTTGGGATGTCCATGATCCGAAAAATTCTCAGAAACCGAAACCGTACACCATGGAGCTTTCTCCAACCGCGGCTACCATGGACACCATCCGCTTGGCCCAACGGGAGAAGAACCATGCCGGAACCAGGTGGATTCGGTCCTGGGAATTGGTTTATACCCATAGAAATATGTTCAATTTGAGGGTCTACAATTGGTATCAATTGTCAATTACTAACATTATTTGTTTTCAAATTTCTATGAGACCAGAGGGGATGAATATCTTTGCAGAACACAGGTTTTTGGCGAGGTAAACAATGGTAGCTGTCGCCATCTAATGGACGGATTTTGCGATGAACATGGGGATTCCCAACCAGCCATGTTTGTTTGCCAAGGTGTACAGGTCAATTCATCCTCAGTTCCTTTCAGATCCTGCAAGGATGGGACCCCCAAAAATATGGAGAAATATTTGGTGGTGACGGGCTGAAGAACTCAATATTGTATCTACTTTGACGTGAGTACCGGTCAAACCGCGTGTCCCTAAATGGTATGTTTTACTACGTCAAAAATCTATAGCCAAGTGTGCTTAAAATCCAGATCAACTTGTTGGCAAACCCTCAGGATGATGGGAAACTATAGACTATAAACGATGAAATATATCTGGAATCGGGGCCCATTACGGGCATGAGTGCAGCCCTACATGCATCGCCAATCCTTGAGTTTGAAAACTCAGCATGTGAATCTTGAAGACGGAGATAACAATGATAGGATCTGGACTGTTTAACAATATGTTTTGAATGCTCAAACAGTCAAACTGTTGATAAGTCCGAAAGGAACCCAGATTGATGGCTCAAAAAAAACTGTAGATCCTGCATTGATCATTGAAAGGGTTGAAATCAACATTTTTGATTCCCAAACCCTTGAAGCATGGGATGAGAGTTACAGATGAAGGCTCCCCTGGGACCAGGTACCAAGGAGAAATCTCCATCAAAACTGGACAAAGGGAAGGTGCGGTGCTGGTCAAGACGCCTTGGTTTACTCTGCTGCTTGGGACCCTGAACTGCATCCTGACCAGTGCGGGCTTGCAGCATCTACGGCGCTACGTCTGAACACAAGTTGAGAAAATCATCCCTTTAAACGGTGTTTTTTTGTCAATCACCATTTTTGAGACACAACCAGTATTTTATCACGCTACAGTATCTGTTTGGTCTGTTGGCCGTTGAGGCCCCATTCGCACAGTTTTTTTTCGCAGGCAAAGGCACATACTACTACACCAATCCTTACTTCATCTACGAAGGCGGAAGAGGACATGAGCTTGGATCAACACCTATATTACCCTATTTCGGATGAACATCCATTTGCCACCTATTTTGGGGTTTTGGCTGTACCAGGATTTTGACAGCCATGTAAGAAGCTGGTCATGTTTCAAAGCCTCGATCATGGGACCCAATTTTAAATGGTTTCTAGAATCCTGCAGACGGTGAAATCAGGTATGTTCTATTTACGGGTTTCCACGGTTTCCCAGAAATTTATGCGTCATATCTGGTGGAATCTGGTGTCAAGGTCTTGGGCTGTCCTTTTGCGGATGCTTCTGACATCAAATAAGGATGATACAACGCAGGGGTTGTGCCCAAGACCTATAAAGGACTGCTAGACCAGAGTTTTGCTGAGCGTGAAGGCTCCCAAACAATGATTATTCAGGTTCGAGGAAACAGGTGGCGAATCTCCTCTTTGAACATATGTTGGGTCCCTCTGGGTCCCTGCAAGGTGAATGGTTAAATGGAAAGAAGCATGGACAGGCACCGGGAATGTTGGCGTTGGATGCTTCCTTTTAAACACCTGGACCATCGACCTCCCAAGTCGCTTCGCAGGGACGCCTGAGCTTTGGCAGCGATGGCTTCTATGAGGGAAGCTTCGCAGAGGGTGAAATCAGCGGCAAAGGCCGACAGGAGCTGAACGGTTGGAGCTATGAGGGCGAATTCCTTCAAGGCCCGAGGTCCTAGCTACATATGCCGGTGAAAAAAAACATGCTCTGCAGGATGTGTATGTGCTGTTTATGGGTCACTCTTTTACCATGTAATTCTGGTGTTCATGCAGGTTCATCCCCTTACAATGGTGCCTTAGCATCCCTTGCCATTAGTTCAATTCGATGCAGATCCATTTTTGCCAGACGTGGACGAAAGGAAACTCGAACCTTCTCTTCAACAGTAAAACAAATGGTTTTCTGTATACAATTAGTAGATTTTCCCTCACGATCATCAATATGGGGATGGGTCGAAAACCCAACTATTCCCATGATAAGAATAGATATTCCCATGATATTCCCATGATATTCCTGGGAATGCCAAGGATTTTTGGTCACCCCCATAGCCATAGCCATGGCAGGCCAGAAGCACGGCGAAGGCACCTTGATTCGCGCGGATGGCGGCAGCTATACCGGCGGCTGGGCGGAGGCTCCGAATGATCAGTTGGGTTCCAACTCACGAACCAACTCGTTTCAAGGTACCCGGCCTGGTAAACGTTTACATAACGAACTGGAAAGATCCACCATTTTTAATGGGAAAACTCACTATTTCGACTGGGCCATTTTCAATAGCTTTTTGTATGTTTACCAGAGGGTATCAGAGAAAGTCAATATCCTCTAAACCTTTTCACGTCATGACAGTCATGACAGTCATGACCCAGAAATTCACAGCCGCCTTCAGTTTATGAATAGGAGAAACACGTTTAATAGTATTGCATCACTTTTTTTGGGGCAAGCTCCCTCATGTCCCCCAATTAGTAGTCAAGATTTATCTATCGGATGTTGACAGTAGTTTTACATGTATCTGTATAATATATATATATCTATATACACAGATAACATGTATACATGTATGCTGGAAGATTATACTACCACGATAAATCCCTATGACCCATGGGCAAATTGTTGGTTCACTGGCAGGGGAAGTACTCCGGCCACGGCGCGCTGACACTTCCAAGTGGCGAGACGTGGGGGGCTGAGTCGGGCTGAGGGTCAAAATTGGAGACTCAGGAACCTCAGGAAACCACGATTTTTTTGTATCGATTGTTAGTCGATTGTTTTGATTTTGTGGAACAAGGTCCCAACTAATTATTGATGCTTGACAGCTTATATTTCACAAAAAACCAGGACATCTGTTGTGGAACAAGTTGAACTTTGTTCCAATCACCAGTGATCCCAACTGCGCCACAACGTCCCCGCCGTGCCAGGTATGTGGGCGGCTTCCAAATGCACAAGTTTCATGGCCAGGGGTCACACCAAAATCCCAAGAAGGCGTATGGCACGGGAGGCAGTGGATTTTCGCAGAGGGATCCATAGTTGCAAGGACCTCTGCGACACTAGAGACAGAACCTTTGCAAAGAAGAACTATATGTAGGTGACAGAGACCCCACGAGTCGTGATATGAATTCATCAGGATACTTGCGAATTCCTACCATAAATGTTCTCCATATGACTTTCTGGTTTATGATTTGATATGAGTATGAGGCATGCAACAGAGTATGAGGCATGCAACATCAGCAATCCCGATATTTTTTTCGTGCTTGTGCCCACCAGGGTCTCAGGTATTTGACACGGTCATGTCTGCTGCAGTTGTTCCCCCGGCTACTGAACAGCAGTCAAGTCGCAGCTGATTACAGTTACCGAGGTCAAGCCCTTGAGTTCCCTGGGATTATCACGAACTGGGGGATGTCCGCAATTTCATATCATTAGCCTGCGGTAATTTACGTAGCTTATGGACAACCCACCATTTTGAATGGGTAAATCATCTACAAACGGGCTATTTTCCACAGCAAACTGTCAAACAGCCAGAGGTAACCCAAACCACCAAACTACCATTTACATTTACGGTTGAAATCACACTTTCGCTGTATCCCTAGCCACAGGCCATGAGTTACGAGGGCGAGTTTCGCGATGGTTTGCGACATGGGCAAGGCCAGCTGAAGGCCGGATGGGCAACATGTCTGGTGCTGGGTGTGAGCCAAAATTGGGGTACTCATTATATTTAACAATTGTTATATTTAAATATATCTCCAAAAACATGGAGAGATTTTGGGCGAGAACTAGGACTTTGTTGTGGATCCCACTCCATGGCTATGGATCCCACTCCAATTTCCCACTCCAATTTGATCCCAATTATCCCACAATATCCCATGATATATCCATGTGTCAACGTCTTGAGGAACGGGATGGCGCGTCCATCTATGTGGGCCAGTTTCAGGTCGGGTGTGGTTGAAATCCCCGGTTTCAATGGAGAAATGCTCACATATCAGAGATTGCTTGTAGTTCGATGCATTAACAACTATCAATATATATAATATACATATGTGATATATGTATATATATATATGTATATATATATGTGTATATATATATATGTGTATATATATACATATGTTATATATGTATATTATATATATATATACACATTAAACAATATCTCATTGTAATTATATATTTTAAAATATTGCTGATGTTTCCTTGGTTATACATCCCCTATTGTTTGGGGTTCTGAATGGTGCTTTCCCACCATTCATCAATTGGACTGGGGTTCACTTGGACTGGGGTTCAGATTCTGATCCCATAAAAACAACAAGGGCTCATCATTTTCAAGTGGATTCAATAGATATATATATATATACATACCTATCCAGATCTGAACACATCTACCGTTTCGGAAACTAGTCACACACACACACATACATATATATATATATATATATCTATAGATGTTCTTGAAGTTGCTGTTGAACCGCATCTTCATGTATGTTAAGATTCTTTGGTACCGGGATGGTAGCAACAACAACGGGTGTCATCCCGGGAGGGGATCGGCAACCGACCTTGGTGATTTGGTGGTGTTTTTTCGCAATACATTGGAGGATCAACAGACACGGTCAGGTGGGATACTCTCTGGTAAACCAACAAAAAGCTATTGAACATGGCCATAGAAATAGTGAGTTTTCCCATTAAACATGGTGATTTTCCGTAGTTATGTTAGTTTACCAGAGGGTAATTGATCTGAATCAGGTTTGACTTACTGGTGCTAAACCCAGGAAATTTTCGGGAATGATCCGCTGGCTAACTATCAATAGTCATCCCAGCAACCCCCAGCAACCCATCCATTCCCTGCTAAGCACCAGTAAGTTGAATTCATGCGAAAGCACAGCAAGTGGTTAGTAAGTAGGGGATAATAGTGAATTGTGGCAACGTTTCTCCTCTTTGAGAGATCTAGATTTTGTCTCAGCCCCATCAGTTTTGCGTGTTAGATAACTATTTCTGATTGAATACATATATTTTCTCTTTGATTACTGTAGATACCCATTGTTCCTGATAATTTCACCACTGTTGGGATATACTCTCCGGTGTCATCAAACGTGGCTGGAGAATCCTCCATTTGTAGATGATTTTCCCAACTCCCATCCCTAATCGAAACCATGGCTTTTTGTTGGGACTTTCCACATTTTTTTGGGACCATAGAAATGGGGTGTTTAATACTGGCCTGATGGGATTATACCCAACTTTCCTGAAATAGGGGTAGCCCCAAATGTTCGGATTTTCCGAAAATTTCCCCAAAATCAACCATCAGCCCAATATTAAACCATGACTTGGATATTGGGGTACCCCCATGACTCACATGATTCTCCATGGCATGGCTTTAATATTTATTCCCCTGATATTGGGCTATTGGGGTACCCCATGACTTTGGAAATCCCCAGAAAAATCTCCAAGCCACCGGCATTTCCCAGCGCCTTGCAGGAAGGCCGCCGCGATGGACAGGGGAAATCCATGGATCAGGCGGGGAAACCCGTGGGGACACCCAAGAATCCACGAGTTCTTTGAAAAATAACAGTCACAGGAACGTAATGGATATATATATATATACATATGTATATATATATATATGTATATATATATACATATATATATACGCACGCCATCTACATCTGCGACAACCGCGCGCAATGGGCCTCAATTGACCGGTTACTGAGTCAGATGTTTTCCAAGGCGTGAGCGAACAGCCGCTTACCAGTTGGTTTTCACCAGGGGTTTAGGGTTGCCGTTTAGGGAAAGTAAGGTTTTGAAGCATGTTTCTTCTTGGTTGCAAATAGTGAAAGACCCCCATATGGCAAAATAGCAGAAAAGATGTTTGGGTCGTTTTCTGAAGGTGTGTGACTCCTCTTTGAAGTACTTTTCAAGATAAGTAGCAAGTGTGAAAATGTATAGAATACTTGGGTTTGGGAGTCTACTGCCAATAGTTTACAATTTTGTGGCCAATAAATTGTCCCATGACAGGCTGTGGCTGTCCCAGCAAAACAATTGCACGCCCAAACCTAACTGGCGAACTGGAAAATGGGCCATTTAGTTTGATGATCAATGCTTATAAAAACGATGGTGATTTCCCATGGCTATGTTAGTTTACTGGAGGCTAGATGATTGATCTCGTCATAGGCAATCGATGATAAGAAACCATCTAGACGACAGCACATTGCACAGGATTTACTTTTCCTCTTTTCGGACATTCTTATGCCCAAAGAAAATAGGTTTCCACATTTCCAAGATGTGACAGATGATCTCCAGAATTTCACAGGGAGGCGCTTAATTTTCCCAGTTGAAGTCGCAGGTCAGTGGGATCTCCTATGAAGGTTTGTGGCGCCAGGACTTTGGGATTTATGATATGTGGGACATTTTGGCTTTCAGTTCGAGTGTCAAACTACCGGGTAGATTTTGCCACCATTCGTTGTAGGTTCATCACTTCAAAATGAACCCGACCCGCAGAAGGGATCGAAGCAGAGAGTTGGGCCGCTGCGCATGTGAACATGACGGATTTTACACTCCTTTGCCCACGGTGATGGGACTAGTTGTGACTCCAAAGTAGGTCCCTTTGTTTTGGGGCTTTGGTTTAAATCAGAGAATCAGTGGCACAGAAAAAGTGGTCCCCTGCTGCACGTTACTTATGATGCTTCCCCCTCTAATAGGGACATATCGCCCATTTATGCATGATTTTCCTATAGTTAAAGTGCATGAAGTATTTCCCAGCACCATGCTTGACAATCATTAGAGGATGATTTTTTTTCTTTATCCCCAACATTGGCTGAGCAAAACCTGGGAAATGCCACGGAATAGGCTACAGATTTGGATGGTCGTCAGTCACAGTTCTTGGGCAGTCAAGTATTGACTCATTGGTCGTTTGGTGATCACTGGTTGTCCGCCGTCTCCTGATCGAGCATGATGTGTTTGTGTGCTGAAGATTGGCAAATGGCTAGAACAGATGCCAACACCGTTCTTTCGCATGAATTATCGCTGTATTTATTGAGAATCTTATTGCAGAATTTGGTCGGCTGGTTCAAGCATTTCCTACTTCCACAACATGTTCAACCATGTTCGGCATAATGATCCCCAATGACAAACATATTGAGGTGGGTTGAAGACACCGCCGTGCAGTCGCCGTGTGCGTGGGCCGTGTGCTCTGCCATGTCATCCAGCGATGGCATCACGGTGGTGACGGTGGCGATGCATGGTCGGCATCTGATTTGTGTGTGCTGCCGCTCCAAGTCAGAGGAGAAACTTGAGACGTTTCGGATGCATCACCGCCTGGTTTCCTGGCATGGGAAATTCACCATGAAAAAATGGGACATTCACCATATCAGAGATTCAATCAATGGGAAATTCACCATGTGTGTTTTTTGTCCGCTGGTGAACAAACATGGCACCTGGAAATCTGAAAAAATGGGCCCTGGGGCAAATCACCTTGGGATCGGGATCAACTTGGCCGAGTTGCGAGGGCCAAAACACTGGTGCAGATCTTCGGGGACTTGTGATCCCCATGCAGAAAGTATTCATGTGCATATTATATATATATATCATATATATATATATATCACATTTATATATATATGATTATATCTATAATTATATATATATATATGGGTGCATATGTAGATGATCATATGTACGTATGTAAATGTAATGCAATGTAATGCAATGTAATGCAATATAATATATATAATGCAATGCAATGCAATGCAATACAATGTAATAAAATGTAATGTGATGTAATGTAACGCAGTGTAGTGTAGTGTAATGTTATGTAATATAAATTAATGTAATGTAATGTAACGTAACATAACGTAACGTAACATTACGTAACGTAACGTAATGTAATGCAATGTGATGTGTATATATATATATATATTATAAATGTATACATAACAAACACCATTGTAGATACACGTACAACTGCATTCACTGTGTTCGTTTAGGTCCCTTTTCAGAGCGATCCGAACAAACTGAGACGTCCCACACGAGTAGCTGCCAGGTAAAAGTTGCTCTGAGTACGGCCTGTGTGGAGCATTTCCACGTGGACAGCAAGAGCTCACAGGATCTTCAACACAGGGTGGGCTTGGTTGATTTGAGGGAAATTCATGGAAAAATCTATAGCAAACTCTGGTTCTACCTTGGTTTTATAATGAAATATGGTGGGTTTTCCTGTATATATATATATATAAATATATGGTCCAGCGTTCCAACCCCCCTCCCCCCCGGCCATGGTCATGGGTCAGCCGTACTGTCCCCCTCTCCCCCCTGTGGTGTGGTGGGGTGTGTGTTTGGAATGTATGGTATGGCATGTTTGGAATGTATGGTATGTTTGGTATGTATGGTAGGTATGGTATGTATGGCATGAATGGTTGGTATTGTATGGATGGTAGGTATGGTATGTAAGTCTGTTGGGTATGGTATGTTTATGACAGTATGTATGGTCTGTACGGTATGTATGGTTACTATGATGGGTATGGAATGTTTGCTATGTAACGTAGGTATGGTATGTATGGCATGTATGTTTGGTATTGTATGTATATATGGTAGGTGTGGTAATTATGTTTCACATGTATGGTATGTGTGGTATGTATGATAGGTATGATAGGTATGGTATGTATGGGCAGAGTTCGTATGGTATGTATGGTATGTATGGTATCATTGGAATGTATGGTAGGTACGGTATATGTTAAACACATGTAGTGTTGTGAGAGTACACAGGTAGTAAATAGGAAGTAGATACATAGCACATGTATATATGAGTATAGGTAGCACGTAGGTACTTTGAGGGAGTATGTGTGCTACGTAGGTCGTCTAAAAGGTAGCATGTACCTAGTAAATGCGAGGCTGGTAGTCAGAAATGCTGCAAAGACCTAGCAAATACGAGGCTGGACCTCAGAAATGCTGCCAATAGCTTGCAAATAAAAGGGACGGGGGTGCTGGGAAGGGGGTGCTACCTGGGGACCCATACCATTGGGGGGATAGGAACACGGAACACGAGACCATATATATGTATATATATATATATTTGTTTGCTTTTTCCTTCCAACCACTTCTCAGAGCAAAGCCTGCAGTGGGAAGGGATAACCATGGATGCACCCCAAAGACTTGGTTGCCAACTTTGGGACGCAGGAGTGGCAAGATTTGCAGCGCGATTTGGGGCCATACCTCAGGCCAAAGGACTACATCCGCGTGGGGAGAGTGGCAGCGGGAGCTTTCCAGGAGCGATCTGGACATCCCTAAGATGGACTGGTGTTGCTGTCTTTTCGCTGGTGAATCATGGTGAATTCTGATTTTCCTCATCAAACATGGCAATTTTCGGGGTATCCCCGATTTTCATCACACTTTTCTCAGCATCGCCCATCTCCACGTCATCCCGTCGCAGGGTCTGCGTGCCGTGGGCATCGGTTCCCGTGACAAAGCGCTGCGACGCGCGCTGAACGTGGCCCTGGCGCTGTCGGTGGTGCGGCAGCTACCTTTTGCCCCGGAGGTGGGGCAGGTCCAGGAGGATTCTGAATCCCTCACCCCAGTAGCATCAAAAAGCTCGAACAACTTCAAATTATCACTACTATTGTAGATGGCATTTTGTTTGTCTATCTTTTTGGGGGTTGTTGAATCTTAAATACCCTGTAATTTGCCACATGGCAATGGAACATCACACCATTTATAGGTGATTTTCCCAAGCAGAAAGTTCCATTTATAGGGGATTTTCCATTGCTATGTTTGATTACCAGAGGGTACCCCTAATTTTTGGGGGCAGAACGCTGATGTAGAGGGTGATGTAACGTGTAGTCATCCCATTCTCTCAATCTTTAGATAGCCCTGATGGGACCGCACAAGAGATTCCACCGAAGACGAAACGTTTTTTTTCTCGGAGATTTCGATGATCGGGGGAGATGAATCTAATATGGAAACCTCAACATCAACATATTTCTCATATGGCTATGGATCAATACCTATACATACCATTTTTAGGGGGATGAACATCCATTTACCAGCTATTTTGATGTTCACCAGGGGTACAAGGTTTTGACACACTGCCATATGATTGCAGTGACATGCAGTGACCATATCCATTCCTACGAACATGATTGTGATATGGCCCCTATGGTCCCTATACTTTTTGTCATACGGGAGAACCATGGTCTGTTTGGGGTGGGTTAGCCCAGAATTTCGTGGTACTTTGCGACTAAAACGGTGAACCCCTAAATAATCTACTGCTATCATAAAGATTATTCTTTTTGGATTATTTCTAACTCTCAATTATTATTATTACTACTATCCTTCTTATTATCATTATCATTATTATCATCATTTTTGTTATTATCATTGGTACCCCAAGGGGTCAACATTAAACAGCCCGGGGGAGCCCAAAAAATTCAGGCCCTTCGGCGGCTGCTGCGACTGACTCCCATCCCAGTCATGGGAGGTGGCAGTGTGCCGGTACTTTGGCGATTTCTTGGAGTCTGGAAATATCAACGGCCATTTCAGGAACCATATTATTAGGGGATATTAGGGGTTCATCCGCAAAGTTATTGGGATATCAATGGTATAAGACCCATATTGGTTCAATGGGAATTTCAGGAACCGATTGATTGGAGGTACCTACCATATATAAGGCCTATTTTTCAGGCCTAAATTTCAGGGAATATCCTCAGAAAATATGGCCTCATATGGGACAGTACCTCCATTTTAGGATCCTGAAATTACCATTGAAAATATGATGAAACATATCCAGGTCTGCTGTTACCATCAACCGTCTGCGAGTTTGAGACTTCCCTTGAAAAAAATCATCTCAAGGGCCTGAGTGCTGCTTCATTTCGTTTACAAACGCAAACATAAGTTCTGGGTTTCGCCAACCGAAAGATCTCTGCAGTTCCTCTGATTTTTGTCTTCCAATTTCGGATAGATCCCATTTTTTGTGATGACAGCTCCATTTTGAGACAACCCCATGGTTTCTGAGGTCAAAGCGAAACCTGCCGTGCCGCCGCAGGCATTGGTGGATACCTTGGAGGTGGGGGGCACACCGCTGGTGACTAGAAAAGACTTGAGTAAATATGGAGTAAATGAGGAGCTATGAATATGTCTTCATAATCTCAAGATATCTCAAGAATGTTTTTTTTTTGGTGCTATTCTCAAGAATCGTAGGGTCTTAAGGGAGCAGGTCGACTTTTTTCTTGGGGTTGGTAATGATGACGGATTTTACAGACAGGCCCTGTGCCCAGTTGATCAAAACAGCGGGATGGAACACCATTAAAACCGCCATGTTCGCCATTGAAATCATCATTTTCATCAGCATAAAAATCATCGTTTCCGTCATCAATATCACATTTTTTTTTACCATTTTCATCACTACAATTGCAATTTTCCCCATCAAAGTCATCATCTCAATCATTTAAAGCATCACTTTCGTCATTAACATAACCATCTTCCTCAATTTCATTTGCACCTTTCCCATCAACATCACCATTTCCCTAATGAAAGTCATCATTCAAATCTCATTGAACATCTTGCCTACAAATAAAATGCACATTTGAATCCACTTTATCAAACCAAAACAAAAATGCTCAGATTTTAAAGTTGAACATCATTGAAATCATTGAACGAATCACCCCTCAAGATCATCTGTCAGAACTTTGATACAGTTTGAAGATGTTTCAAGTCCCAGGTGTCGGCCAAGCGAGAGTCTGCCAATGTCAAGCCTGCGAGCCGAAAACGGAGCAGGAGCAGCTCGCCGGAGGCTCACCTGGGAAGATGGGTGGTTTTTTCAGGAAAAACAGGGACTTTGTGGTGGTTTCACCAACGAAAATGGTGGGTTAAACAACAATTTGTAAGGTGGCTTGACCAACGAAGATGGAGGTTGAACAGCCAACGAAGAGGGATTCCACTGCTAAAAAGTGATGGTTTTCGGCAGGAAGAGCAGGGATTTGATTTGAAAGATTTGACTAGGAAAAATGAGATTTAAATAGCTTGAAAATGGGTTTGAGTCCCCGTGAAGTCCAAGTTGGCAGCTTTGGGTAATCATAGCCCCACATCTCTGACAACTAGAAGGGGCCCGTCACTGCAGAGAATCCTCAGAGGATGATTTTGCATCTTTTACATCTTAAGACATCTTTGGATATCCTCAAAATATCCTTAGAATATCCCAAGATTTGTGGCTCCCAATGGTTCTTCCCGTTAGATTGCCCAATTGAATTCATAGTTTTATCACTATTGCCAACCACTTTCTGGTGGTTTCTGGGAAGGGAGAACCCCAAAATTATCCAGGTTCTTGATCCCTTTTAGGGAAAGCTATCGTTTTGGCGGCACCCATCAATGCTTCGAAATTCAACAGTTTCTACAAGCACTATACTTACTATAGTTCTACTCATTTAGCCAACATTTTCTATAACCATGACTGCAATCACCTAATCATTTCCAATCATTTCCAATTCCACTCAGTTTTTCGTTCGCCATTTCTATCTCTTTATAACTGCCCCCCCAAAACCGCCAGGCCAAAGACGTGGCGTTCCCGGAGCCCGAGTGGCTGCCGCAGTTGGCACAGCTGGTGACAGCGCAGATCTTGCCGCGCATCGAACGCCTCGAGCAGATGGGAAGAGCTTTGCCAGTGCCAGGTGAGTTGGAAAAAGACATGGTGTAAAACTGGGAAAATGGGATGTATAGAAACATCAGAAACATCAGGAAGTTGGAATAGTTCAAATAGTTGGAATTTGTTGTTTTTTTGGTATTCCAATGAGAAATGAACGTTTGGGGAATCGACTGGACATATTTTTGGGCCTCTTGAGCAAGTCCAAGAGCTGGTCTGTCTGAAAATGAAGGATACCTGAAATGGCTATTTAATTTTGAGAAGGTAAGGATAAACAATCAAAATTGGGATATTTTATTTTTAGACAAACTCCCTTTCTGGTGATATTAGTTTGGGGTGATCATTGCCATGGCTGGGAAATCCCATAATGGTTTTGGGCATTCAGATGGGAACATTTTCCAGGCAGATTGGGGATGTCCCATCCATGTTTGATTGCATGGGGCTATTCAACTTTTTCATTTTTTATATCTCAGTAGCCTCAGTTTTTGTCGTTTTTTTGTTGGTTGAGTTTCATTTTCACCCAGATGGTACCCGGCCTGGTAAACTTACAAAAACTATTGAACATGGCCCATAGAAATAGTTCAGTTTCCTATTGACTATGACTGATTGGTGGTTTGGAACATGGCTTTTATGACTTTCCATTCAGTTGGGAATTTCATCATCCCAACTGACGAACTCCATCATTTTTCCGAGGGGTAGGGCTCAACCACCAACCAGATATATATATATTAACTATTAACCATCATTAACCATATGCCATATAATAACCATATCATAACCATTATTAACCATAGATTAATAGTATATAATATACATATAATAATAAAGTCTTTCCGCGAACTTTGTGAGGCAGTGACAACTCGGATCCCGCAGAGTTTTTTCGTGCCGCTCCAGAGGAGGACGGCGCGCCAAAAGTGGCTCTGATATCCCTTAAAATCAGCACGGGTTAGGGAGCATCCATAGATGATATATATATATATGTATTGTGATGCTAAAAAAGGATAAAAATGGGTTATATGACCATAACTATATCCAGATTTCAATAGATATTTGGGTACGGGTTAACTATCGGTGATAACTATCCCATTGGTTCAGATGGTTTTTTCAGGCCTTTTTCGAGAAACGGAGAGTCTCATTTGAAAATCATGACAATCCGTTGGAATTGGAGTTACCTCATTTTCAGAGAAGCGTAGAAATCCGGTGAAATACTGCACATGACGATGCATTTAGTGTCAATTGGAAATCCAGCTTTGAGCCATAGCCAAGTGGCAATCTTCTCAGAGCCGCCCCCCAGAATCCTCTCCAAGTCGTTGCAAATTTTCGGAAACACAGCAGTTTCACTGCAAGAATCAAAGGCTTTTTGATATGAAAACTGTTTCTGAGTTGGATAAGAACTAATGTTGAGCTTATGTTAAGCCAAGAACGGCGTGTTCCTTTTTAGCCTTCACCCCGCCCAAAAGGAACACGCCGTTTTTGGATCATGTCGGGACCATGCTGGGCGTATATGGAGCCTATGTTGATCCATGTTAGGCTTTTGGAGGCTATGTTGGGGCATATTTGAGCCATGTCGAGCTTATCTTAACCCACGAGCAGCGTGTTCCTTTCAACAACTCCAATTTTGAAGGCGTTTTGCGCTGGAAATTGGCTGCGGTAGGGTATCGATTCCCCCTCGGTCTGGGTTTTCGTGGGTGAGCTAAGTAGCCAGTCAGAAATCGATAGAGCGAGATATTTTGCTGAAGAGACGTAGCTGACCAACAGAGTTTTAGGAAGGCGACCTGGAGTACGCGCAGTCGTGATGCTTGCGGGTTTGCTGCAACTAGAGAACTCCAATTTTGAAGGTGTTCTGTGCAGGAAGTTTAATGCTTTCAGTCGTGATGCTTACGGGCTTGCTCCAACAGAAGAACTCCAATTTTGAAGGTATTACGCGCAGGGAATTTGCTGCAATAGGGTATCGGTTTATCGGTTTATCGGTTCCCCCTCAGTCCGGTTCCTGGCCAGTGGAACAAATAGATGGAGAAACGTATTTTGCCCGAGACTTTGAAGATACGTAGGCCACCAACAGAGTTTCAGAATGTCTGCCTCAAAATTTTCTGTGCAGTTAGGGCTAGGCTACAACTGGCGGATTTCAATGTTGAAGGTCAGGCAATTTGCTGTGCGCAGGGGCTTTCATTATCAGAGCTGGCTTTCGTTCCCCCTTCCTCAGGTTTATGTATATAATATGTGGGTATATGTATAGTTATAGTCTATAACCATCATCCAGGTGACTTTGCCCTCCAGACACAACACATTTGAGGAGGTGGATTACACGGGTGACAGCGACGTTGCGCCAGATGCGCCAGATGCGCCAGATGCGGAGGCTGTGTGCCCCGTGGAGGAGCACCTTGAGTCGACAAAGGCGAGGCTGGGACAGTGGGGTGATCTTCGGGGCGGTGGAAATTCAGAGATTCAATAGCTAAATCATGCTCAATAACTGTAAATGGTGAAACTTCTTCCATTTTCCTGCTGAATTACCAGAGGGTATTGGGATTTTCACAATGAATTATAAAGGTTTATGGAGTTTTCAATATCATGGATACGGGGATAAAATTGATCATTGCTAATATGAATGGCGGTTAACATTAATGATAAGGGGGTCAACCATGAAACAATATCATTTCCCTAATATTAATGGTTGCCACTAAATATTAATACGGGATGACCATGAAAACTGGTAATGTATTGATATTTTGTTTGGTTATCGTCGATGATTAAACAACACAAATGGGGATATAAAACAACAAACTTGGGGATGTTGCTGATATTGTTGGTTGTATTCTATTCCTCCTTAAATTGTGGATATGATGGAGATTTCACCCATAATAGTACGACATGCGGATGCAAACTAAAAACATTTTAGCGGACAACAAACTATGTGTTCATTCGTCTTCTGAAGTCATCAGTTCGAGATGGGACATTCCTTAATTGCCATCATAGCCATGATTAATCCCAATGTGGGAACCATGTCCCTCAAACATCGGAGGTGATATGGGCGTGCCTTTGGTTCATCCAAATCCGAGGGATTTTGAGAGATTTTCAGGCAGGTTGAGACGCAAGATTGGAGTTTATTCGAGGGCAGCATGATGGTCCTCCTGACATGGATCTTTCAACCATGATGTTGCACTCTGCATCCAGAAGCTTAATATATGTATACATACACATACATGTATATATTTAATATATGTAAAGGTATCTGATGATGTATCCCCCCAAAAGGGTTTCAGATCCAAAAAAAGGACCAACCTTTTTTTCCGGGTCCAATTTCCGCTCCCTCCAATTTCCATCCGAGCAGTGCATCTCCCGAATATCACCATGAAAGTCATGGGATGATATGGGTTTGTCTGAAAATGTTGGGTATATTCCCAATGAAATAGCCATAAAAAATAGGGATAATGATCAGCAAAACCATTGACTTTAGGGGTTTTCTCTATTTTCAGACACACCCATATGGGATGATCTCCGTATTTTCCATCGAAAAATGCTATGGCCATAGATCTGTAGAGATCTATAGAGATCTGAAGCCCCGGAAAGTCCTGGTACACCTGGATCTGAGGACGTGAAACTGGACCAGGTGAAGATGGAACCGATGGAACCAGTCGAACACGCGAAGCCGCTTCAGCTGCTTGGCGACCGACGTTCATGGGGTGCCAATGGTGGTGGGCATGGTGGGTAGGGGATACCCTGGGATACCTCAAAGTGGTAAATGGGGAATCATGGTCATAATTTTGACGTAGCCTGTCTTACGATAAATCCACAAAACATGTAGGGAATTGATGGTGTCGAAACCTTGGTTGTACATACTTCCACTCAACTCCTGTTGGCCGAGAAATCCTGGATGCTTTTTGAGTATGATGCTCCGGGGTATTGCTATTCACGACTACGCACAAAAAATCCCTGATATAAAGCAACCATAAATGAACCTATTTGTTGGTATCCTGCTTGTTTGTTTGTTGCATCCTCATCACGACCTGTTTTTCACGACGAATTTTCCAGGTGTCAAACACCTGCGATTTTTTTTGTCCCAGGGACGCAAGTGGTCTAGATGCAGATGGAACCACTGAACTGTGCCTTGTCGTACGGTGATGACACCTGCGATCCCCACGTAGACCCCAGATGCAGACATCCAGATCACCGCTCTGGATTCAAGATTTAATAGGGATTTGATCATCAAACATGGTCATTAGGAGACAACCAACGATGACTTGTTTGGTGGTTTCAAATAGATAATGTGGTAAACCTCAAATTTCGGATGGTTTCATAACTGGTAAGTCATTGGGGTTGCATTTGGATGTTCCATTCACTTGAATTTCAGCTGGGGGAAGAACATGAGATGTTCAGGTGTCAAAAAACCAACTGACTTGTCGGAAAAAAACACCTGGAAACTCTCGGTATTTGATGGGCAAAGATCTAGATTTTTCAGATGTCCCAATGATCTAGTGATATTTTTGCAGATGTCACTGAGGTTTGTAGATGAGGTGCGCTACTCGCAGCAGAGCTGTTGCACCTCGATCCGAGCAGAAATTGAGAAAAACTTAGGTTGGTAGATCCGCGGACGCAGCAAAAAACGGGGATTTACCATGAAACATGGGGGCTATTTAGGAAAAATGGTGACGTACTGGAGACATATGAATAGTGGGGATATAACCAACAGTTCAACAATATCGATTTGGGATCATTTAGGTGTGTCTGAACAGGTAGAAACCATGAGCTTCGAAACCCTGGGATTTTGGTAGAGCCCTTTGTGGATGACTTGAGAGAAAAGACTTTCATTGTAGTATAAATATTATAAATGTCATGTATAGTGTTTGGGACAAGTCATACTTCACCAACTCTGAGTTATTTGCCAAATATCTCAGAATTGGAGGGGCAAATCTGCAGTTGACGCCCTAGACTTGACGCGGACTCCCTCAAAACCACCGAAATGTCATGCTTCATACCCCATTTCTCTGCTTGAACTCCACCTTGTTTGCAGGTTACACCCCGCGAAATTTTCAGGTTCGGAACCTCTAGTTACTAGTTATATGAACATCTCCAAGTTCAGAAAATGATCGCAAGCAGAGCCCATAAAATCCTGGTTCCACCGCCACCCTGAAAAAACAGGGGTGGAGACTCTCCTCAGTTCCCAGCTGGGGACAAGGTGATCGGATGAGAAATGGGAAGGTTGTCTCGGAAGAGGTTGAGAAGATTGTGAAGGGAGCCTTGCCAGATGGGACCAGAGGATTAATGGTTTCAGGAAATAGCAGATTTTCCATGATTAACAGCAGATTCAATGACTTAATGTCACTGGATTTTGTTTCGACTGTTGTTTTTTTGCTGAAACGAGTTCCGTTTGTTAAAAGATGGAGGGAATGGAGGGACATTAATTCATCAGTGGATTGAGGCAAATCATGGAATACTGCGGTCAATTTTTCTGAGGAAAGGGAGGTTTACCCAGAAATATGTGTTTATGCCATCCAGAAATATTGGTTGATGGTTTTATATGGGGATATGAGCCCAGTTGGTTTAGTCCGCAGGGTGGTCACGGGGATTCTCACTCATGAACATCATGAACCGTATGAACCAAGATGGATCTTTCAACAACCGAAAAAACACCGGAAATTACGATCTAAAACAGCAAGGTTTATCAGGCTTTCACCTAGAAAATATGGCGATTTGAACACCCTCTTGTCATGAAACGTGGCTGGCCACAGGACATTGTCATTTTTGAGGGTAAGAACATCACCTGCACCTGGATAGTTTGTGGGCGATTCGGTTCTAGTTCTGGAACATCCAGCATGGGGATCTAAAACAAGAACGCATGTTATTTTCTGCGGGGGATTTTTTTACAGGGGGTGATCCCTTCTCCCTCATCCGGTCAGCGGCCTGGCGTTGGATAGCACGCTCTCATCCCAGGTGATATTGACCCTTTGAAGGAGGACTGGTTGAAGATAGAGGTGCATAGGGATGGTGGGCCCTGTGGTGAAAAACCATGGAGGTTTCAGGGTTGTTTTTTTCCCCAAAGAAATGACACCACTGCTGCAGTTTGTTGGATCGATCCAGAGATGTTGATGATCTGCCCAAAATTGGAATGACTATTCCACAAGCGAGACCATGTCGATTCCGTGCTCGTTTTTCTCTTTTTTCCGCCAGGTCTTTCAGATGAAGAGTTTCCAGACTCACCAGATGACGTACTATAGCTCCGACAATCGCAGATTGCTGATCCTGAAGATGGCGCAAGAGAGGCCAAATTTTGGGGAATCGGGAAATCTCCGTGAGCGACATTTACTGGCAGCACCACCCATTGTCCACCGGCACGTAAGGAGTGTTTTTCTGAAGGGCTGAAGGGGTGTTTCTTGGAAATACTTGCACTTAGTATGCACTTAGTATGCCACGATATTGTTGACTTGGTCATACTTGGTCATGATTCATGATACCTGGTCCTCCTATGTTTGAGAGTTTCCAGTCTAGTAAGGTTCTATAAATCAAGGTTTTGATTTTTTTCTGAAAAAATTCTGAATCAAATTTCTGAAATATTTCTGAAAAATTTCTGAATCCAGAGATTTTCTGCTGCCAACCATTCAAAAATGAAGGAAACTAGCTGTTTTGCTGCTATTTTCAAACTTTTTGCGTTGCTTCTCTCGAATTTTGACGAATTTCAGAAATTTTTCAGAAATTTTTCAGAAATTTCTGAAAAATTTCTGAAAAATTTCTGAAATATTTCTGAAAAATTATGCATCCAGAAATTTTCTGCTGCCAACCATTCAAAAATGAAGGAAACTAGCTGTTTTGCTGCTGTTTTCAAGCTGTTTTGCTGCTATTTTCATACTTTTTGCGTTGTTTTTCTCGAATTTTGACGAATTTCAGAAATTTTTCAGAAATTTTTCAGAAAATTTTCAGAATTTTTTCAGAAATTTATGAAACTTTTCTGAAAAAATTCTGAAATATTTCTGAAAAATTTATGAATCCAGAAATTGTCTGCTGCCAACCATTCAAAAATGAAGGAAACTAGCTGTTTTGCTGCTGTTTTCAAAGTTTTCAGCTAGTTTTTCATTACTTTTGGCAGTTCTGCTGCTATTTTCAAACTTTTTGCGTTGCTTTTCTCGAATTTTGACGAATTTCAGAAATTTTTCAGAAAATTTTCAGAAAAAAATTCTGAAATATTTCTGAAAAATTTATGAATCCAGAGATTTTCTGCTGCCAACCATTCAAAAATGAAGGAAACTAGCTGTTTTGCTGCTGTTTTCAAAGTTTTCAGCTAGTTTTTCATTACTTTTGGCAGTTCTGCTGCTATTTTCAAACTTTTTGTGTTGCTTTTCTCGAATTTTGACGAATTTCAGAAATTTTTCAGAAATTCTAGTCAGAAATATTTCAGAAATATTTCAGAAATTAATCAAATTTATCCAGTACCTCAGCAGGCTGGGCAGAAAGTCTCAATCCTATGTCCTCCTGGTCCAAAGCGTGGACATTTTAGCCTTGATCCTGATCCCGATGATCCCGATGTCTTGTGCCACGGCTAGGCTACCTGGACGCCTGAAATTGCGGGCCAAGGTGGAGAGGGTGCCTCCGTGCTTCCGGAAATTCATGAGTCATTTCAACACCCGCAACGATGGCAAGAGCATCCGGGTGAAGTCTCCGAAGAGCTTCCTGGGCAGCTTCAAACGCAGCCGAGGCCGTACTCGTTTTTGAAGCGTTAGAGACGAGGCAATTCTTCACGAAGCCACAGAGATTTTCAATTGGGCCAAATCTAGATCAAGGATGCCTTTTCTTGGGGAGAAATCTTCTTGGATCTTTCCTTGCATGGATTTGGCCCGGCCGTGGCTGAAAAGCCATGGCAACTGTAGCAGCGCAAGCCAGATGGCCAATCGTTTGACAAGAGGGTGCCTGATTTGTAAAGGAATGGACCGTGAGCATCCTTCGAAAAGTGCTGTTTTCGCAGGAGCTGGTGTGAATGCATCCACTTGAAAATGGATAGTGTGCAAATGAGTTGATGAAACCAGTTTAGAAAATAGACTCTAGAAAATCTAGTTGCATAAGTGGGCAATTGGGTGTGTTTGATCCATCCACACCTTATACTAGCCATTTCAACCACTTGGGGGTGCAAGTCCACTGAATCAGCTATAGCCATAGGATTGCCATAGGTATAGGCGGTATAGGCTAGGGTTTATATCTCAACTTATGGGTGTTATTTCACCCAGGACACGCTTTTTGGGCCGCGTCCATCCCCAGGACCAACCCGAAAGGCCTGCAGTGGCATGGGATTTGTGCCCGGCTGACAGCGAGGCCGTCGAAGCAGTGTGTCATGGGACCCCCAATGATGGTCATTTACTGGTTGGTGGTTTGGAACATTTGGATTATTTTCCCTAATATATGGGATAATCCTTCCCATTGACTAATATTTTTCAGAGGGGTTGAAACCACCAACCAGTTTAACATTGGATGTGTCAATCATCATGGCAATTTGAAGAGGGACGATGATGATTGACCCATGGATAGCCGATTTTCAGACCCAAGTTGCATCAAGTTGCCACGTTTTTGGCGACGCACAGGAGTCCTACATGACGGTGGGAGAGTTGTTGAAGGAGGAGGTGGGCCATGCTGAATTTTTACCAAAACTTTGGCAGAACTCGTTGCAGTGGTTTCCCAACCAAGAATGATTTGTATCTATTATAATCTATTATATATATATACTTGTACAATACATCGAGTCTCACAGTATAATCGAATTAACTATATAGTAACATAATACATTTGATATTATTAAGTATATACAATACATTATCTACATATTATACATGTAAATTCTGTACATAGGAATGTATTGACATTAGTATTTGGTTTAAACATGTTTCTGAGGGTTTGCTTACCGGTTTTAGGTTGCCAGAGCCTCCAGTTTTAATCAATCGGGGAAATACGTATCATGGCTGTGCTGCTTCTAACCACTTCGCAAATGGGAATCTTATCATAAATCAGAGCAGCTAAATCTCTGTTGTTGTTGGTGAACAATTTACAGAACTCCACACTTTGTCAGTTTCGGCCCATTTTCATATGTGAAATGTTGTTGATCATCCACCCCCCCATTCTGAATGCTAGTTCTTGGTGATTACTTGCGTAGATGTCAAAATCCAACCTTAACAACTGAACGGAATCACTTGAGATATAGAAAATCCTGAATTGGAGGGGATTTTAACATATTTTGACGTATTCTTACCTCACAACTTCCCAAATTTCAGCCTTTAAAGCTTTAAAAAAAACATGGAGATGCTCGTCTCAGGCATCCAATCAGCTCCATGCCGATCCCAAAGCGAAGGGAAAGAAGGCCAGGTGTATCCGGCTGTATCCGGTGTTTCACGGGGATCGTAAATGACGAGTGGTTCATGATTTCTTCGGTTAGCCGCGGTTAGCCTTTAAGCATTGGGCTTCTCACCACCACTTTAAGGATTTTCCAAGAGGTTTTGACACTGCTGCCAAGCAAAAAGGGAAGCGAAGCCAGCAAATGGAATTTGTTTGACAAAAATAATTATGTGATAGAACCAAGAAAACTGGGCATGGCAATTGGAGACTTAAACAATTCCGTATCTCAATTTTCTGGGGGTTGGATTAGACATTCCATGTTTAGTTGTTGAACACCAAATTTCATCCAACATACATATTTTGCTGGGTCCAAGTTCTTCCATGCTAAATGCACCGAGTTTTTTGTTGCTTGTAACATCTCCCAGGACTCGATGTTGTTTCTTGCCCACTTTCTCATGCGGGTTTGCCAAAACATGGGAAATACTGCAGAATGACGATTTTGGTGGAGAAGATGATAATAAACCATATTAATGGACTTTTGAGGCACCATATTGTCAGACAAACCCATGTTCGCTGGTTAGATCCTGATCAGCCGGATTATTGCCGACCTCTCTTGCATGTGAACTTCCAATGGTCTCTGCTTCCCCACCCATTTTCGGGGTTCTTCATCAAAGCAGATGTTGGTTTGTTTTGGTAGTAGACAGTGGACTGCTCCCTTTTAGTGCTGGAAGACTAGAGATTTGGGATAATTGTTGGTCTTAAGCTGTCCTAAACCATCCCTTAAATTTTCATTTTGGGTCCAAACTTCACTATGGCCATGGTCAAGAATTTGGCGAATTTGGCTTCTGGTCATATTTGATAATGTGGGTAATAGTCATCAAGCAGCCCCCATCCCCAATGGCCCCAATTATGAACGAAGGGAGTATAAAGATCCTTTGGCTAGTTTTGGCTTATAGTCATTTATTAGACACATTATACATATATATATATACACATATATATATATACATATATATATACATATATATATATACATATATATATACATATATATATACATATATATATATACACACATATATACACATATATATATACATATATATATATACATATATATATATACATATATATATACACATATATACACATATATACATACATACATACATACATACATACATACATATATATATAGGGTTATTGTATATAATTCGGCCTGAGAATTTCTGCACCCCCATGGGATCCTGAGGCTCCACCACCGGTGGACACCACTGGGCAGGGTCCAGAGCTGAAGGGCGCCAAGGGCCAGGCAGGGGCCAGGATTTTACCAACAAAAAATGGGGAAATCATGGGGAAAAAATTGGAACCTGGAGAAAAATGGGGAAATCATAGGGAAAAAAGGGGAAACATGGGGTTTAACCAACAAGAATAGGGGTTTAATCAACAAGAACGGGGATTTAAGCATCAGACATGGATAAACAGGGGATGCAGTAGGGATATAACGGGATATATAAGCTGCAACATCATAGATTGGACTTGTCCAAAACTGGGGAACTTACTACCCAGCTATGGCCATTTCAACAGGGATAATGATGATTAGCCCAGGGATGCAATGGGGTATATACTTTATCTTTAGACAAACCCATTTCTTGTCATTTGTTGGTTGACCAACATGGAAACATGTAATGTGGACGGAGAAAACATTACATGAGTTTTTCGATTGATGATTTTAATATGACCATTGACTTCATCCTCAAATGTTAGGATTGATTCACGCAATTCTTGACAAGTTTTGTGGCCCACACCTACGAGTGTGTTTTTGACCACCAAGCAAAATGGAGCTTCTCCTGGGTCTGGAGCTAGGCATGAGAGTTGCAAAATTACACCATTCCTAAAAACAACAGCGCTTGTTTTTGGGTTTAAACACGGGGTAAGGATACTGGCGAACATGGCTTGAGCTTTGGGGGATGGACGTTCAGCAAAGCTGAACCAGAGCTGGTTGAAGAGAACACTAGCAGGTGGGTGAACCAAGTCCTCGTAGACGATCCTAAGACACCTGGGATGTATTTTGCCCAACTCAAACAGTTGGAGTTTGATGTTTCCACACCAACATGTTCTAGATACATGAACTAAATTGAAACAGAAAATCACAGCACATTGGTGAAGATCTCGTAAAATGCCCATAGGAGGAACTCCGGGCGCAAAAGAAATGACGTCAGGTTCTCCCCGAAACGAAGGTCCGGCTGGTGGATGCCGACAAGGTGGGCCTAATGGTTTGATGATGATTGATGCGTGAAACGTGGATGGGTTTTTCCTAGGAAACTATATATAATATATATATAGATAAATAAATAAATGAATGAATGAATAAATAAATGTATATATATATATAACAGTGGAGAATTTAACTAGGAACAACGGTGATATTTCATGGGGATAGAATGTTGTATACATTTCACATAGAAAAACCATCCGTATGTTCCGATAGACGTTCCAAATGATTGTTGTTTATTGACATGTAGATTTGGGTCCACAGTGAATTGCGAAACCTCGATGGCACCGGAAAATCCTCGGGCGAAAACCACTCTTGGAAACTGGACATGTCCGCGTACCCACGGAAGAAAGTCAAGAGCAAACTGTGCTATGGAGTATCTTTTAAAGCGCTTGTGTTTCTATCTATGATAAGATTCTTCTTGTGATGTGTGATGTAGAGATACATGCCATCCCAGGTTTTTCCCTAAATGTGGTGTTCCCTCGTGCCAGGTACCGGTAGCAGCAGAAACCGGCCGCTGCTTTCGCGTGACCATGTACAAGGTCGGGTGCCCATGGTGTCCTCACAGACCTGAGCGGAAATGATGGCTTTGTATGTGGGGATACAGTTCCAATTGGAATTACCCTCTGGTAAATTAACAGTTTGACCCTGAAAATCAACCATTTTGAGTGGAACTAATCGTTCAACCCCTATCTGGCAGGGTCTATGTTTATTTACTGGAGTGTAATTTGATCTACAACCATAGTTGATGGATGTTGTAGAATTTATATCCTGACTTATGGGGGGTCATTCTCATGATTACAATGAATTGCATAGCCAAATATCGCCGGATTTCGGAGTGGCTTGATGGCTCAGCTGGGCGGGAGTTCATCGGTGGCTTCAAGGGAATGTGGGTGGGAATAGCAACGACACATTTTTTGGAGCAATTAACCCCTTCAAGGTGGCCTTAGAAATGCCTCAAAAACTTGAAACATGTGTTGGTTCCATTCTAATATTTGGAAGCGAGTCACAACAAGCACCCCAAGAATTTGGTCGGCAGAAACAAACAACTTCTGTTTTTGAGAATCACTTTGGATATCTTTGAATTGGTTGAAGGGAAAATCTACAGGAAAACCACATCCTTGGGGTAGAAACGATGGTTTCCCGTAAGGATTTTCCCAGCAAAGCATTCCATGAGGAGCGAAAGATGGCGGAGGGTGAAGTTCTTCGGAGGTACAGCGTTGAGGGAATGGATTTTACCATCAAAGATGGGGATTCTACTGGTTACCCTTCGGTCGTGGAAATGCGGAACTTCCAGCTGTGGAAATTCGTCCTGTAAAATTGACCTAGGGAGTTTCCATTGAAAGCAAAGTGTTGGCCCCTCCCCAAAGTCATCTAAACACGGTTTTGTGAACTGGGAAACCAGTGGTAATTGCGATCACGGAGGTTGCGGATCTTGAAGGTTCATCATAACATTCTTACCCCTCCCTGGTCGATAAAGTTGGGGCTCCGAACAATTGTCTGACCCTTTTTTAACAGCTTCATGTCACATCTATTTTCGCTGGAAAGCATAGAAAGCATAGAGTATGTCTGAAAATCCATTGGATTTTGGGGATTTCCCAGCTTCCGCAGCAAAGGCCGGTGAACTTTGGGGATGCGCGACCCACGTGCCGCGGATTGGAATTTGATGGAATTTGGAGATTTAAGCACCAAAAACAGGGATATGACACTAGCCATGATTGGGATACAGGGGGATATACAGTAATGAAATAAATGGGCTAACGCCCTGGTGCCGCCGACCTCCCCATTAAGGGGGGGCTAGGCAGGGGTCGGCGGAGATACACACATATACCTAGAGCACCCTCAGGCTAGAATTTGAGCCTGAACGTGTTCGGACCGTTTTTTCTGCCTGACCTTTGAAATGTCGCCTGCCTCTAAATTCTCGCCTGGAAATGCTTTCTGCAATTATGCTCAAGATGGCATTTCCAGCCTGAATGGACAATCTCGCCTGAATTGATGTTCAGGCTAAAAGACAGCCCGCCCCCCAAAATGGCTACTATTTGGTTTCAGCCTCAAATTTCCGCCTGAGTGCCTGGTCGAAGGTGCCGCGGAGCGTTTTAGGCATTTGAGGGCGGGCAAACGGCAGCCTCGAACGCCGATAGTCGCAGATGGCTGTGGCCTGAGTGCCTGGTCGAAGCTGCCGCGGAGGGTTTTAGGCCTTTGAGGGCGGGCGAACGGCAGCCTCGAATGCCGATAGTAGCAGATGGCTGTGGCCTGCGTGCCTGGTCGAAGCTGCCGCGGAGGGTTTTAGGCCTTTGAGGGCGGGCAAACGGCAGCCTCGAATGCCGCTATAGCAGCAGATGGCTGTGCCTGGTCGAAGCTGCCGGTGGAAGCTGCCGCGGAGGGTTTTAGGTTTGAGGGCGCGCGAACGGCAGCCTCGAACACCGATAGATGCCGATAGTAGCAGATGGCTGTGGCCTGAGTGCCTGGTAGAAGCTGCCGGTCGAAGCTGCCGCGGAGGGTTTTAGGCCTTTGAGGGCGGGCAAATGGCAGCTTCGAACGCCGATAGTAGCAGATGGCTGTGGCCTGAGTGCCTGGTCGAAGCTGCCGGTCCAAGCTGCCGCGGAGCGTTTTATAGGCCTTTGTGAGGGCGGGCAAACGGCAGCCTCGAACGCCGATAGTAGCAGATGGCTGTGGCCTGCGTGCCTGGTCGAAGCTGTCGCGGAGCGTTTTAGGCCTTTGAGGGCGGGCAAACGGCAGCCTCGAATGCCGATAGTAGCAGATGGCTGTGGCCTTCCTGCCTGGTCGAAGCTGCCACAGAGCGTTTTAGGCCTTTGAGGGCGGGCAAACGGCAGCCTCGAACGCCGATAGTAGCAGATGGCTATGGCCTGCATGCCTGGTCGAAGCTGCCGCGGAGGGTTTTAGGCCTTTGAGGGCGGGCAAACGGCAGCCTCGAACGCCGATAGTAGCAGATGGCTGTGCGCCTGAGTGGCTGGTCGAAGCTGCCAGTCGAAGCTGCCGCGGAACGTTTTAGGCCTTCAAACGGCAGCTTCGAACGCCGATAGTAGCACCTGGTCAAAGCTGGCGCGGAGCGTTTTAGGCCTTTGAGGGCGGGCGAATGGCAGCCTCGAACGCCGGTAGTAGCAGATGGCTGTGGCCTGAGTGCCTGGTCGAAGCTGCCGCGGCGGGTTTTAGGCCTTTGAGGGCGGGCGAACGGCAGCCTCGAACGCCGATAGATGCCGATAGTAGCAGATGGCTGTGGCCTGAGTGCCTGGTCGAAGCTGCCGGTCGAAGCTGTCGCGGAGGGTTTTAGGCATTTGAGGGCGGGCAAACGGCAGCTTCGAACGCCGATAGTAGCAATGGCTGTGGCCTGCGTGCCTGGTCGA